CCACGTCTCCCAGGTTCTCTCCTGCTCCAGAAAGCCGTGTGTGATCCTGCTTAGCAAAGTGGCCTTTAGCAGGCGGTCAAAGGGTGTCAGCCCAGAAAGTGAGGGCACCACGCTGAGTGTGAACAGCGTGGTTCGGGCCACAGTGGAGGAAGCGAACGAGGGAGCGAGAGCACCGTGGAGTCGGGTGAGGGCAGCACAGGCCTGTCTGGAGCCACTGCCCGAGCTGGCCTGACTTCCTCCAACGTCTCTCAGCCAGGAGCACCGCGGGCGGAGGGCGCACAGCTCTCGTCCCGCGTGGGTCCCTGCAGCGTGGTGTCCTTTCACCCTGTGCCCAGAGTGGGGCTCCTGAGCTCTGTCTGCGGCTCCCAGCGGGGTGTGTGTCGTTCACCTTCTCTGCCGCCAGCTGTGGTTCTGTGGGAGGGTCTGATCCAGCCCCTCGGACTTGGATTATGTATTTATTCCCCGTGTTTGCTGGTTTAATGAGCTGAAAGTAATCCCTCTCGCGGTTTTACATCACACTCAAAAACGTTCTTACTTCTGTGTAAACATTTTGTGTAAACGTGATTTCAGTTCCTCCGCCGTTTGTTCAAGGGACACGAGGTGCCACCCACTGGGTTTCAGTTCTTAGAGATCATACTCTTCCCACCGAGGGAGGTATTTTTAATATTCTTGTTTTGTTGCTCAGTAACAGACTGCATTTTATGTTTCTATGATTTCACATGCCTACTTCACAAAGGAATGTTTCCTCTGGCTTCAAAAAGGGTACAAAGTGTATCAGACACTTTTGAAAGGGTTTTGACATTTCACTGTCACACGTGGTGGTGGAGGCTGTTATCCCCAAACAAGTACCTGCACATTGATTTTCTGTTCATCCCACTTGGGTCCACGCCGCCTGGGCCCTGCTCCTGGAATCTCTGTGCGGGCCCACCAGTGCCAGCTCACCATGGCACCGGCCACAGGCAGGGTTTGAAGTGACCAGGGAAGGCTTGAGGACCGAGTTGTCAGCCTTGTCGGGCACCACGGGGGTGCCCCCAAGACCCCCTTCCACCTGGAGCGCTTTCTCCCGAGGAGCAGGCTGGGACCTACTCTCCACACGCTCGGGGCAGAACTCATCTTCTTTGGGGGACGGAGCAAGGACTCACCTCCTTTTTGTCTCCAATCTCCGCCCCTCCGGCTTCAACCCTGCCCATCACCGTCCTGCTCAGCTTCCTGCCCCCATCAGAGCTCAGTCATACGAATTTGCCACTGAGAGACAGGCGGGGCAGGGGCGGGGATCTGCCATGAACAGGTCAGCGAGACCCTCCCACCCTCCTGTGGACTCAGGCTTACACTGGACCCCCTGCGGCTCGAGCCTGGGTCCTCCACCTCCCAGGCCTACACCAGCACCTGGATCAGCGGAGCCTCCCTTCTCTCACTCGTGGGGCATCTCTCTTCATTATCAAGAGTCTTCCTAATTATCAAGGGTAAGTGGGCCCACAGCTGGGCTCAGAGGGCAGCATGTGTCAGAGCTGACCTCTTGCCTGGAGGGCTCAGCCACAAGCCGTTCCATCTTGCCTGGAAGAGAGCCCCGTCTCTTCCAGACTGAGTGGAAGTGAAGAAGGCTGCGGGCTCAGAGCTGCATAGATCTCCTCCGCTGAATTCCACTGCGATGCCCTGGGGACCAAGAGCACAGATGCAGCAGCAAGCAGCAGCGAGCCAAGCCCCTGCACGGCTGAGAGGATGCGCAGAACGGACCGTCTGCACAGGTGCTCACGGCAGCCTTCACACCAGAGGGCTGTGTCCATCACGAAGCCGCTGAAGCTGAGACGCCAGGCCCCATCTTGCTGGCCCCCCTAAGGACCTGGGAAGGACCTCAGCGTCTGTATTAATCTGACTTCTTAAGTACACTGTTCTGCCTTCCGTTACTCCCCCTCCCCAGTTAGTCGTTCAGACGTTAAGTTCTCAGTCTCGCCGCCCCGCCGTACACCTGCGCCGCCGGAGTTTCTAAATGCTCAGGCAGCTCGCATGCCAACCTGTGTGAGGGGCCGACACCGCGAACGCACGGAGGGGCCCGGTGCGGCGCTTCCTGCCCCGTGCGCACGACCACCGGCGCAGTGGTCCCGGTTTACTGAGGGTTTACGCCAAACCCAGCGGCATGTAAAAAGCTATACTTTGTGTTCTTTAACTCTCACCAGAACCCAGTGACGCAAGTATAATGGGGCTGCGCTCTCTTGTCTAAAATCCCCATGGCTGGTTGTTTTTCAGAATCGTTAACTTTCTGTATTTTAGAAAGGGAATTCTACCAAATGCCACACATTATTTAACATGCTGGGGGATCTCAGGCAGCAGACTAATCAAACATTCGTATTCTGCAGGAGAGTGCAGAACATTCGGAACAAGCGGTATGAAGATTATAAACAGTGTCACCTCAGCTGGAGGTCAGGATCCGCCACAGAACACTGCCGTAGAAGAGTGCACAGGGGGACATTTGTGTTCTGCGTACGGAGGTGGTCCCCTGCCTCACCTAAAAGCCATTCAGTCAGTGCCAGGAATCTAATGAGAAGGGATCTACGACACAGCTTCGTCCTTCCCCACTGAGATTCCTGCCTCCTCCGACAAACTGGCCACGGCTCCAAGGAGCATCAGTGCACAATTTCGGTCTAAACATCAATGTCTATGGATTTCTGCTGAACTGGTGTGACATGTGCCCGGGTCAACTTCTGCCCACAGGGTCAAGGCTCAAGGAAAGGTTAATGGTATCAAACAGTCATTTTATTTTTCTTAACATGTTCTCACAGGGGACAGTGAATTTAACAACGAGGGAAATGCACTAATAAGAGCTAGAATCTCCCGGACCATATGCAGAATGACGGCCAGAGAATCTGAGCTTAAAAGAATGAAAAATCTAATAATTAGAACTAGAAACCCTAATAGGAAGTTTACACAGCAGACTAGATGCAGCTAAAGAGAGAATCCTACGACTGGAAGTTAGACCTCACTGTCAAAAGCTTACCCAGAACAGAGCAGAGAGAGAAAGGAAATAGAAGGGAAATACAGAGTAATATTTAAGAGGTGCAGCATAACGTGAGAAAATAAAATATGTTTCTGGTCAGAATTCTAGAAGGAAAATAGAATGGAAGAAAGACATTATTTGAAAAATTAATGGGTGAAGTTTTCCCAATATTTTTCAAAGATATGACTTCATATTTAGAATTTTCATAAACCCCAAAAAGGGTAATTAAAGATAATTCACACTTAAACACATCCCAGTGACACTGATGAAAACAGATGACACAAAGAGACTCTTCTTAATGGGAGGGAAAAATAGGTTCCGTAAAACGAAACAAGATTCAGAAACACAGCCAGTCTCTCAACAGTGACAGGCAAACCAGGAGCAGGACATCGCATCTAAAACACTGGGGAAACAGATGTGACTTGAAATTATAAAATCAGTTAAACGCATTTTTCTAAAATGATGATTGAACAAAGACACTTTAAAAATTTCCTGATTGACTATTATTAGACGCATTTTTACAGGGAGAACTCTAGGAAGAGAGAAGGGATCTCATAAAAAACAACAGATCTGAGATATAAGGAATGTTTATCAAAGAAAATAGTAAATATATGGACAAGTCTAAACAAACATTAGCCGTGGAAAATAATAACATATAATTTGTGTGGTTAAAAATAACCAGCCAGAACTCAGAAACAGAACAGTTACAACATATAATTTATGATCAAAGCTCTCTATGTTTCTTGTGTCATTTGTAAAGAGGGTAAATATTAGTTGTAGACTCTGTCAAGCCAAATGGCTTATGGAGTATCGATATTTTAGGGCAATCAACAATATCATAGAAATAGAATATATTACTTCCAAATTGAGTTGGAAAATAAAAGTGAGGAAGAAGAAGATTCAATTAATTTAAAAGGAGTTAAGAACAAAAAGAAAAAAGAAACCTAAGAAAGGCAAGACAAATAGAAAGCATAAAGTAAAATAGTAGAAAAGAATTCAAATATATCACTAATTGCAATAAATATTAATGAATAAAATTTCCTAATTAAAAGATTAAGATCATCATGCCAAGTTTTTTAAATCCCAGCTATACGTTCATTGTTTGTAAGCAATATACCTAAAATATAAGAGCATAGACAGGTAAAAAAAATTTTTTAAGGAAAAATAATGTTCCAAACAAATAACCAAAGAAAGCTGGTCCTGATGTATTGGTGGTATAAGTTGAAAACAAAAAGACTTAGAGCAAAAAGCATTACCAGAGACATTAAAAAAAGGTTACTATATATCGATAAAGAGCATGAAGCCTCAGTATGACAGGAAAGCATAATAGTCCTAAGCATTTTTGCTCCTAATAACAGTTTCAAAATACATAAAACAAAAATAGAACTACCAGGAAAAACGGGAAAACCTAGCATCACAGAAGTAGATTTTTAAAACACCTCACGTGAAAAAGCAATACATCAAGTAGACAAAATTCAGCAAGCGTACGGAATACCTGAGTAACACTACGAAAGAGGCGGACATAACAGGAAGATACAGAAGCAGAGAGCTAAATGTTTTTTAAACACATGAGAAACATTTGCAAATACTGACCACATACCAGGAAATAAAATAAATTGCGCCCTAATGTGGTTTCTTATTGCAACAGACTTTTACGGCTTCTGAGACACAGGTTTCTCTCTGTTCCTCGTGTCCCTACATGGAGAGGAGTCTTACAATCAGGGACTTACGAGCGCTGCTGCCACTTTCCCACAAGTTAACATTTCTGAAATCTGAATACTTCTTGTACTGCATTTTAGATCCAATAAATGTGGTAAGTTCAAAATCAGTGACAAAATGATTTAAAAACAAATTCATCTATCTGTGAAGTAAAAAAAAATGCTTTCAGAAACTGCATGATCACTACATGATGTCAAATCATCAAGCTCTACACCTTGAGCTTTACATAGTGCTGTATGTCAGTCACATCTTAATACCAGTGGGAGAAGGAAAACCTTACGGATCAAAATGATAATCATAATGGACGTTAGAAAATACTTAATAAAAATACTAGGTATCAATAATTTTGAGATGTGGCCGAAGTCATGATACAGGGCAAATTTATCACCTGAAGTTATGTTAGAAAAGAAAAAAAGGCTGGAGATTAATTAACTGCAAGAATAGCAGAATAAACCCACCGAAACGAAGAAACAACAAGGAACGAAGTGCAACACAGTTAACGGTGGAAGTACGGGAGAAAGGGTGAACCAGGCCAGAATCTGTTTTTTTGAAAAAGGTTAATCAAATTAACAAGTCTCTGAAGAATACAAAGTGAAAATCAAATATGCATAGCATAAGAGAAAAAATAACTACGTATACACAATGAAAGTCCAAATATCAAAGAGTACTAGAACACATCTAGGTCAAATAACTTGGAGAAAATGTGGAAATAACAAATTCCTCCCTAAAAATAAGTTATCCGCACTGACCCCAATCGGACTGAATGAGCCTGTGACCATGAAATGCCTCGAATCAATATTTCAAGATCTACCCACGAAGAAAATACAGATGGTTCCACAGGTGAGTTCCACCACCTGCTGCACCACTGCATCGCTCACCCGTCCGGGGCTGTGTGAAGAGTGAGCATTCCTTCAGCTCACGTTACAGGGCTCATTACCAAAACCACAACAAAGTGCCAGGCCAACCTACACACGAACAAACCCACGCAGATACACAAACGCAGAAGGACTAACAAATCGTTAGCACATTTAACCCAGGTCCAGTGGAACGACTGCAGGGTTACTTCTGCGTTAGAAGCGGTCAAAACCCGTATTTCTACAACTGTCATAGGAACAGCTTAATTAGGATGACCCAGAGCAGACATGGAGACCTGCTGTGCAGGCGCGGTAATCAGGACGCGGGGTGCCCAGCAGGCGGACACCGGACCCCGCCGCCGCCAGGCAGCGCAGCTTCCAACCCTGCCGGCCGTGGGGACGAGGGAGGAAGGACGGACCGCTGGTGACCCCAAGATGCCAAGAAGCAGGCTCCCTGCCTCACGTCATGCACAGCAACAGTTACTCAGAAGCCTTCGTGGGGCAGGATTTTTCCCTCATCAAGCAGAAGATGTAAGGAAACGTCTTCATGAATGTCGTGTGGAGAAGCTTTGCGTCTGAATTTCTGATTGCAGAGCCCTTGCCAGCAGCCCCAGTTGGGGTGTGCGCCTCTGAAAGAAAGTCATACTGAAAATAAGAGATGGTGGATGAGATTTAAATAAAAGCTGAATCCCCAAACCATTGGGATAAAAAGCTCAAAAGATGGAGGAGAGGGGAGACTGTGAGAGTCTGCAACCCACCGGGTGCAAAGTGAAAAAACATTAGGATCAATGGATTAAGATTTAGGAGCATAAAACAGATTTTAAACAAGAAAAACAAAATGATAAGAATAAACAGTATTGAGGAAACCTGCTTTTACCAGGAGTCTGAACCTGGTGTGAGAGCCGGGCCGCAGGCTGCTGCCGGGCCGGCAGGGGATGCCCTCAGCCAGACTCCCTTCCCCGAAGCTTCGCCGCGACACCTGAGCTCTGGCCCATGGCCACAGGTCCCCTCAACAAGCGTTTATTAACTCACTGAACCCTTCCTTCCACACGCATCTACCACGCACCCAATGTGCGCAAGGTGCGGAGCCCACTGCTGGCACGAGAGAGACCAGGCGCTCAGAGGAGGAAGGCGGGGGCAGAGGGAATCAGGGCCACCATGGGTCCCCAGTATTCACTGCAGCAGAGTCGGGGACCAGAGGAAGAAGAGGGGAATTCGCCATCATTCCACGGCCTATACTTCCCCCTTTCCAGGAAAAACAAAAAAGCCGGCTCGCCCTGCAGCACACCTGCGCTCAGGGAGAGAAGGGGAGGAGCAGAGGGTCACCCACTGTCTGAGGGAGGTTGGAGGGGGAGAGAAGGGGGCCAGCTGGGTGAACCCTAAATAGACATGATTTGCACGTCCTCGCTCAGTCCCCAGGAGGGTCTACCTGATGCGTCACTATTAAGACTTTTCTGAGAACAAACGGCATCCGGAAATTCTGTCGTGTTTTTTCACAGTTTCTCTGTACTAACTCCTTCGTTGCACATTTCTCTTCCCGTCCATCTGCACGCCTTCCCCCGGACGCACGCCCTGCTTCCTGACAGCAGCATAGGCAGAGAGCGCCCTCATTTTTCAATTAAGGCTGCAAGTGAAAGCAGGCAATCTCTCACCTTTTTCCTACTGGGTGACCCACCTTCCTCCCAGCATGTCATGGTTGGGCTTCACTTTGAGCTAGTACATATTTGAATCACTCTTCCCCTTCTTCTCCAAAACGCACGAGGAGGGGCCCTGTGACTTTGTGGGTGGAGGTCTCCTCAGATTTGCTAAACCCCGAAGCAAAGTTCTGCTTGCTTGTTGTTTTGAATAAAATGCGGGCTGGCGTGGTGTGGTGTCTCTGTTCCTCGCCAAATAATGCCGAACAGCTGAACCAGGGCGAGGAGACCTAGGAAACCAGAGCCGCGCCCGACCAGCACCTTGAAAACACTGACCTGGACGAGACAGCCCGATGCCACGGAACGAGCGCGCTGCCGGTCCGGGGAGCTCGGACAGCAGCAGGCGGGCTCTCACGGCCGTGACGCCCGCTCGCCGGCTCAGGGAACACGGGGGAGCTCGGAAGGCCTGTCAGCCCCGCACGACTCTTCTTTCTGCCGCGAGAGCAGAAGCTGGAGGAGATTCTTCTCCAAACTTGAGGGCTTCAGTGTCGAGCTGAACATTTGGGTCTAACCATTTTTAAAGGTAAATGAGATTCTTACTCTTTAGGTCAGCACAGCATGCAACCAGGTCTACGGCAAGTGAGCAGCGACGTGCGATGTAAATCCCAGCCCGTCACGTGACCTAGTTCCGGGAAGACTGAAGTCTGTGGGTCAGAAAAGACGGTCTGAGGGAGTCCCTGTGTCTTCTGCACGGAGCAGAGTCTGGACACGTAGACGCAGGACAAGGTTGGGCCTCTTATGGGGGGGTGTCTCCAGTCCCAGAGAAAGAAAGCAGTGGTCTTCCTCACTCCTCAGCTCAACACACCCAAAGCGCACACCCCGACACACACAGAGACACTCAGAGACACACCCCCCCTTACACACAAACGCGCACACACACAGATACCCAGACCCAGACACACACAGCCCCTTACACACACGCCGCCATTACATTGCCCAGGAGACCTGCATCGCTAGACCACTCTGAAAGCCCCCGCCCCTCTTCCATTTGTTAGCTGGGCTAACTTACACAATTCAAAATTTTTTCCCGTGTTGAAGTTCCCTCACCTGTATGACAAAGGTAATTATACTGGTGACACTAAGCAATCATGAGCGTAAACAAAACAGTATCTGAGTGGCGTCCGTGCCTGCTAACTAAGGAAGAACTCAGCGAGCGGTAGCCACTCCTACCATCATACTGTGAGTTGTTAACTGTTGTAATTTCACTGTTTTGGCCCCACAGTAGGTGATGGTTCCTGGAAAGAGGGTGAGAGGTGAGACTTGAAGGGGCAGGGATCCAATGACACAACCTTCTCAGCCAAATTAAAGACTGTAAAGTTTGTCCCCAGGGCAAGGAGAAGCCACTGGACACTTCCACAAGGAAGAGCAGTGAATTCGCATTTTCCGGAGGGACCCACGGGGCTGAGACAGGGCAGACTGCAGGTGGAGGTCACGGCTAGCGGCGAGGGGTCTGTGCCCAGCAGAGGCTGAAGGTCAGAGAAGTGGCTCCGGGGGCTGCTTAGGAGACAGGGTGGAGATGGGCTGGAGAAGCTCAGTAAAAGAAAAGTGTGTTTTCTGACTTGGACCATTGGGAGGCTGGTGAGTTTCTTCTGCAAAGACCTCAGGAGAGGAAAGGGCTCAGGGCCCACCCCCCACCATCCTCCTGAGTGACTGGCCTGCACCTTCGCCCTCACCCCAGGGTCAGCCACGGACCAAGGTCTGGGTGGCAGCCAGGCAGGAGCAGGAGGTCACCCCGCGAGGACAGGCCAGGTGGTGGCCGCATCCCACTACCAGGCTCCTCCCTGCCCGCAGTGGTGGCGGTTCTGATCCGGCAGCTGCAGGGTCTCGGGGACCTCCCATCCTTAGACTTCATTCCCTAAGGGGCCCAGAGCTGTGATGCTCAGAGCGTGGTCCCCAAACCCACAGCACCAGTGTCCCCTGGGCCCCTCTCAAACCGAAAGGATGAGAATTTGCACTTTGTCAGGGTCCCCAGGAACTTGCCCGCGTGTCCGAGCTCCAGAGGCAGCGACTTGCACATGATTAGGCTGAATCAGAACACGACCAGGGCCAAGCTGGTTTCAGAGGGCTTGTGTCGACTCCAGACCGCAAGAGACAACCGTGTGCGAGCGTGTGTGTGAGACACGCCCGTCTGCGTTGTTTGCACTTGCTCACGTGCTGACCCCCCGAGTGACGAGCCTCTGGAGTGACCCGGGCCTTGCCTCCCTCCCCGCCGGCTGCGCTCGGGTCCACTCTCCTTATGTAAATCTCGTGTCTAAAACGACCCAAGGGGCCTCTGCAATTACACACACCACCTCCTGCACTCACAGTCCTGGCATTGGAGGAGCACCACACAAACACAAGTCAGCAAAGAAGCCACAAAGCAAACACGCCTAGACAGGAAATGGACTTGCTCAGCCCTGCCTTGTCGTGGGGGGGGCAGGAAAGCTCTGCCAAGGGGCGCCGAGGGGAGAAGTCAATCTGCTGGTGAGCAAGGGATCCCCAAATCGGCCGCCCTGCTCCCTGCCGGCCGCGCTCAGCCCCGCCAGCTCCGAACGCTGTGCTGCACCACCTGGCATCCAGCCTCCCGCAGAAGGCCAGGCCGCAGTCTGCGCCCTCTAGGAAACCTTCCTGCTTGGTTCAACAGCTATATTTTTGAAACAAAATTCTAGGTATGAGCTAACTAATTTTACTAAATCATTATACTTATACGCACAGTCTTCCAAATAAAAATACGCCAGCTTTACCTCGAGAGCATCTTGTTAAGTATAGAATCACATCCCACTTCATCCTCCTAGGGAATCCCCACGGTTCAAGGGCCCTTTCCCCAGCGAGTCTCTTGTTTATCAGGAGCTCTGCTTTCTACAGAGCACGTGGCAACGGGAAATTATTACGATGCGTTCACAAGAACAGAGCAATTGCAGAAGAAGCAAGGTGCTTGAAAAAATGCTTGTCAGGACCGCAGACTAGGTAAGACACTTGCTAACACCTGGGCAAGGAAGTCCACGCGGTGTAAGGGCGGAAAGAGGGCAGCAGTCGGGGTGCGCCGGGGACACCCGCCTGGGTGAAAGCCTAGGGAGAAACCAGCCCGAAGGCGTTGCTACCACACTGAGGAAGCACCGCGACCTTCCACTGCGAGGGCAGTCACCCCCGAGAGTCAGCCTCAGCCCCAGCCTCCTCCCGGCCCGTGACACGAGGCTCTGAGCCGCTGGACGGGAACCCATGACCGGCACTGGTGGTGATCCCTGCGTCGCCACTGGCCGGGAGCGGGAGCTGGGTCCTGTAAGACTCTCCGCGCTACAAGACGCCACCCCAGCTCCCTGTGCCACTGGCCTGTAGGGGAGGAGCTGGGGGCACCCACAGTTAAAGGTTAAACTTAGAGAGACCAACTCAACATTCCTGGAAGCCCCTGTGAGAGGCCTAGCGGCGAGGCTGGCGCCGCGCCTCTTCCGAAGCACTGGCAGCGCGCCGCACGCTGTGCCGACTCGGGCCTCTGCAGCTTCCATGGGGGGTACTCAATTTTCTCATAACACCCAGTGCACATGGTAACTTGCTCCTCGGACCTTTTCTAAACAGACCTACAGCCACTGCCGGGGTCGTGGGACCGGAGGGAAAGGAGAGCAGCCCGACCTTTGGGGGAACCGGGGCCTGAAGCAGCACAGACATCCAGACACGGAACATCAGCAGGGCCCCGCCGCAGACCCACACGGCGGCCGTCTCCCCGGCTCCCACGTCTGTTCTGAGAACGCGTCTTTCCTAAAGCTGGAATGGACCCAGGTGGTTTGCTGGACTGTGGGATGAGAGCTATCATGGTGGAGAGGGTTCGAGGAAGCCTCAAAATCTGCCCCTCCCAGGTAAATCAGCGAATCAGAGACACACTGTTCTCCAGAAGGACCTGAAGGATGAGGGGGTGGCCGTCTCTCCACCTAACTCACCCGCGCGTCCCCTGCGAAACCTCCAGGGAGCCCGAGAGCTGCAGACTCAGCCGAGCAGCCGAGGGCCCGGTGCTGCAGCCGAGTGCCCGGTGCAGCAGCTGTGTGCCCAGTGCGGCACCCCCACCAGGACAGGCTCCTAGGGTGTCAGGAACATGGGAGGCAGGCACTGGTCCAGGAAGAGCTCTGTCCGTCCCCGACAAGAAGTCTGACCAGAAGCCACTCACATTCACGTGGATGGAGGCAGAGTTAACTCCCTGAGCTCTGCCAAGGGGGCCCTGCAGGAAGTGGATCGCCCCAGTTCTCCTTAGAACCCACCCTAGCCCACTGTGTCGATGCCATCGGACCGCCGGAACCACGCTGAAGGCCACACTGAGACACGGGAGCTCCAGAGAGCAGCTGACAAGCCCTAGTATCCAGCAGTTTCGGGCTGAGACCCGCCCTCTCGAGTAAAGGGGACATGGCCAGCACTCACACCGTCTACCCCGCAGGAAGAGCCAGGACCCAGGGCCTCTCTGGGCTCCGCAGGCAGCACACTGCAGGCTGGGGCACACGTCCCAGCTCTCGGGGGCCCAGGGAAGGGAAGGGGCGTGTGGTGGGCCCAGACAGCGCCGCAGACAGCCCTCCCCGGGGACTCTGCGGCCTCGAAGGCCCTAGTACTGCGTGCTGGAAGTGTCCACAGCACGGAAATGTCATGCTGAGCGTTGGGCAGCACGCTGATGGAGACTCTCCTCTGGTTCTGTGAGTGGACGTCGAGTAACCAGGTCCCCAGGACTGTGTCATGAGTGGGAACTGTCAGGCCCACCAAGTCCTCACGCCCACAGACCCTAGCAATCCTGCCAAGCACGGGGGACCTCTGGGGTCAAACACTCCCAGGGAAGGGCCCGACCCCCAGCCCTCTCCCACTGCTGGCCCGTCTCCCCCCAGCCACCCCGCAGGGCAGGTCCCTCATGACCGGCTGGTGGAGCAGGTGGAAAGGGTGACCTCAGCACATGGGAGGAGGGGGTGTCCCTGCCACAGAGCCCCCCACCCCGAGGATGACCGAGGCCTCACTGCCACTCAGCCCCTCCTCTGCCCACACACAGAGTGTTCTCAAGAGACCTCCCGGGAAACTTCCTGCACACAAAATCGGGGCTCGGAATGTGTCTTCCCAGGCGCCCAACCCTGGCGACTCTCTTAGTAAAGAAAAAGTTCTAAAATACCATCCTTCAGAGAAAAAGGCAGCCCTTCTAGACAACTGCCTGGCACAGGAGGCTACCCGAGACGTGTGGCCTGTCGTGTAGGAGAGAGCCACAGGAAAGCCGCCCAGGCCCTGCACCTGTCAGCTCAACCTGCACTCCGCTCCCAGGGGAGGGTCCGCGAAAGGGTGGCGGTTCTCCAGCCCCTGCGACCACGTGGGGCGGGTCCATCCCCGACACTGGCTGAAACTCTGAGTCTATGGAATCATCTGTGAGATGAGGTCGGTGGTAAAGAAGGAGTGAGGTCCCCAGTGAGAAAGGCGGACAGGGAGACCCTGGGCACAGCCCAGTCCATCCCACACGGCGCTCGGGTGATGA